TGAGAATAGTGCATTGTCTGGCAATATTCTCAGATTTTCCCCATTAACCAGGTGCTCCAGAGGTCTTTCTGCACTGTGCCACATATTCCAACCTCCCTGAACTCAAAGAATTTAAACTTCAACCCAGAAAGCTCCATGCTAATGTTCACGGCAAAACATTTAAGTAAGTAGGCAATTATGCATGGAAATACCATCAAAGAATATCAACTAGTCATCTTCCAATTTTCTACAGGAAATCTGCTCACCAGGAAAGAAAAGTAGAGAACTGCCTGGGAAGAGAGAAAACCTAACAGGAAACAGGTGGAAAGAATCCTAGTTTATATGGGCAAAGACTGATCGTGCAATCCGGTATAGTGGTTCTCTCTTATTTTATTCCCCAGCCCTTCTTAGAATGAAGGAACAAAAAGGCCAAACCACTGGGTTCAGTTGAAATCTGTTTGGTGCAGGATTTCCCCTCCCCTAGATTCTAGGGCCTAGTTAACTCCTGGCATAGCCCTTGAGGCTAGGCTCCAGGTTCATTCCAGCTACCATCAATGGCCTTCACAGAGCAGCACTCTAACCTTGCCCCCTACATAGCAGGTACAAGGGCTCACAGAGGACAGGCTTCATGCTACTAGAGGATTTTCCCAATCAAAAGGGAGCTGACTGAGATACAGTGAAATCTGTCACCACTTAAGACAGATCTCCTTTAAATTAAGTAGTGCAATGAAGTCTCAGTAAGGCTATTTTGGGCTAAGTGATGGTCATCACTCAACACTTAAAAGATTACCAAATGACACAGTAATGGGGTCCAGAATACTGCAATATAATCCTACAGTAAAACTACTACAAGTGTAGGACCGGACCATTCCTGTAGTTTAAATAAGGAAGTGTTTCCTGATTTGCTTTTTTAAACATGCAGGTTTAGTCCTTCTCTCTCACAAACATGGTGCCATCAAGGATAGAGATTACCTACACCTATTGCCAGCTAACTGCCCAAGGACTGATGTGGCACATAGTTGGGCAGGACAGTTTCTGTATACCTTCTCATCTACCACAAGATAAAAATATTGGGGATTAAAGATCTGTCCCTTGCTGCTCAGCAGGTAACCCCAGGAAAACTGCCCATCTCAGGAGTAGGGTCCCTCCTCCCATTTCCCCATAACATAATGTCTCCGATTCCTAGGATCATGACACCATGGGAGCAGGTGGTAAGACAGCTCCAGTGCTACTTGGGGACACTGCCGTCACAACAGGTCTCACACACTGCACATGGCATGCTTTATTTTGTCCATCTCATTTTCCTTAGGAGAACAGGACAGTGGCACAAGAGACAAACAAGATACTTATTGGGTTTCTATTTAGAGCAAAGTTCTCCAGCTATCTGTACTCACAACCAAGCAGTCATCTCCCTTTAAGTATATATTGTACTATATAGATAGGTTGCCTGTTATAATGCAAGTTATTGAGCCATCATCTTATTAGCACCTAAATGATTTGGCAAAAAAGAAAAGTTTGAATATGCCAGTGCCTTTGTCCTTTTCATGCTTCCTTATGCAAGGAAGTCTGAAAGCGTTACTATGTGCCTTACTTTCTTTAAGCAGCCAGACTGCCAGTCTAGTCTAACCTGAATATGCTACAACAGTGGTTCCCAGCCTTTTTTTTTTTTTTTTTTTTTTTTTTTTTTTTTTACTGTGGCCTGGCAGGAGCAGGATGGGACACACGGAGCCAGCTGCTAGGGCTGTGTGAAATTTCGCCGGCAGTTTAATTTCAACACTGTTTCAACTCGAAACAGAGAGCTCCGAAACAGCCTCAAAACGAAAGGAGGCAAGTCTCAACGTTTTGAAATTTTCAAAGCATTTTGAGTTTTGAAGCTCAAGCTGGTTTTGCCTGCAGGGAAACAAACTAAAGTAAGGAGAGGGAGGGGGTGGGGTGGGGGCAGGGAGGGAG